AAGCAGAAAATCATCTGCAAAGGAAAGGCAAAGCAAAATACAACACTGAGGCACAGAATTACGTAAGCTTGGCAAAAGGAGCAAAACAGGAAAATGTCAATAAACTTGCAAAAAAAGTATTTGGCTGTTCCTTCACAAACTGTAGGAAAAGAAACAAACAAGAACTGTGAGATTTACAGTACTACCAAGTTTGACAAAAGGAAAAGCCATAAGCAGCCCTCTCTGAGAATGATTGAGAATGATTGCAGATGAGCAAGGAAACAAATTTTGGCATAACAAAGTGTTCTATGGCACTCCTCTCATACTCAAAACCCTTAATAAAAATAGACTCCTACCACAAAACAAAGTCCCAGTAATCTTTTGAATATGTTTCAGTACAAGATGGGTTCACATCTGGAGCTCTACGTAAAAACACCAGGACCTTTCAGCTGTCTTCAGGATGACACTGTCTTCTGGGTCCTCACTCCACTCTGCCAGCTTTTGACCAGAGAATAGTTCCTTTTTTTTTTTCCCCTTTATTTCCCACATTATCGAACAGATGTAGCTGTTTGTCAGTAGGCCAACAAAGGTTAGGTCACAGGAGGCCAACCCACTCAGCACCCATCCATTCAGTGACAGATGTCTCTTCAGAAGTGGCTGCAACCATGCAGTAGCTGGACACACTACAGTGGGCTTTCTACCCCTCTGTGATTACTTCAAGGCAGTGTTTCAAATTAAGTACAGATTCTTCCACCAGCATGGCAACAGCTAATTAAGACCCAAGCGCACACACACAAATGTTTTTTTGTAGACCCATTGTAGGCTGTGCCATCTCCTTCACCAGAGTAAATGTGTAATTAACTTATCAGCAGACCCTTGAAGCCTTCTATACCAGCCACTGTTATGCAGCCTCCTGAGGCACACTAACAGGAGAACAGATTTGGAGCCAGCTACAGATGCTGCTGGTTTTCCTCTGCAGTCAAGGATTCAGAACTGCCATCGCAGAACTGGGCTGATTTTATGAGCATTTTCTTCCTCTTCAGTCATGTACACTTGGTCTATACAACTGCAGCAATACTGTCATCTCTGCAGTGTTGAAATGCTCATAACTATCTGAACCAAGCAGCAGCAATCCAGATACTCTAATGCATGTAATTAGTACATCACAGTCCAGGTTTAACTGAAATAAAGTGTTCTATCTATACCAGCCATGGACGCCAAACCTTGCAGTCCCTGACAAGACAGAGTCTCCAATTAACTCCACCTCACTGCATAATTCCAGTCATTAGAAATCTCCTATACACAGAGTGGATGAAGAGCTAATGGTCTAAAGATCTGTGGAATCCCAAGACTGCACCTCGATCACCAATATTTCCAACTGAAGTGAAAACCAGGAGCAGGGTTCAGTTGAGGCAAACACTTCTGCATGCAAATTTCACATTTTTCTTAAGAGGAATTATGCAAAATTAAGCGTGCAAGGCAGAAGGAATTTTTAAAAAATTCAACCCAATACACTGAAAAATTCTGGTTATCTTCTTTTTTTTCCTTTTTTTAATATTATTTCCCCAGTGTGAACCATAAGCATGAGATTTTACTTATTACTGCAAGAACTGTCATTATCACCATGTTTTCCAGTCACTTCCAGCCTCTGCAATTACTTACTACGCTTCCCTACATCATGCACTATCAGAAAGATTACACAGAATCTCATAAATGAGACATTCCTCATTGGAGGCTTATTTCTTGAATGACATTTGCTAAAGGAAATTAGAGATAATAAAATATCTACATTGTTACTTTAAATAATACCAAATGATACCTCTGGGTAATTAATTATGCATTTTTTTCCCCCCTTACTATTATAAAACTTTCATCAATGCTTTACAACAGGTTCTGCACACCATTTGACATCAGTGAAACTATAAGATGGGTCACGAATCCAACAAGGAAAATACACATTTTTGGTTCCCCTTAACTTGATGTAACTGTAAATGAAACTAGGTGACATTTTTGTCTCATTTGAATAGGCACAAGGCTATTGCTTCACAACACGACCATGCAATGGAACATTCCAGTGTGGTGAGAGGACATGAACCTTAACGTTGTTTCTCCACAGCTCTGCATGCACTCAGTAAAAAAGAACTTAGGCTTTATTTGCAAAACTCATGTTTTCCCCCTAGATGCTGATGTTCTTACTAGCATTGAAGTGAAATCCATCCCACCACCCAGGATCATGAGTTTTTCATGAAGCAGGCAGTAAGTATTGTCACAGAAGTGAAATAACAGGAGTACTGTAATGAGCCCAGATCATTAACATATTCCAGTTTGCAAACATCTCGCCCCACACATTCATTCCAATATTTCCTTTGCCATGGTTGCTAGCATCCTGACTTTTCAAAGGGTTATATGGTGCTTTGAACTTTTGACATGCATTTGAGGGAGCTATGCCTGTCCTGACACTGGAAAACACGAGCTTTGAGACTTGTTTTCAGTATGCTCCTGGCAATCTTCCCACCAGCCGTCTTTCAATAATACACCTCACATCAAACACAGATTTGCTGACTGGTTAGTGGCAAGGGCAAAGAAACCCACATGTGTTGCAGACACAGTGCAAAAAGAGTCCTTGTGAAAAAAAAAAGCCAGCTGCTTCAGTTTCTAAGGCAGGGTGTGAATCTGCCCTCCAGGCTGAAAGAGATGTTCATCTGGAGCTGCATGTTCTACAAAAAAAAAAAAAAAAATTCAAAGACCTGGAACTCTGAAGAACAGTAATATAACAAACAAAGATTTCATATGTTGGATTCTAACTCTCATTTTACTTGATAGCCCTTTTATAACTAGTCTAACTTTCCTGACTTCCCCTCCTAGCAATTAACAGTCCAGCCATTAACCCAGCGCTACCAGGTCACCATCAAACCATGTCCTTCAGCACTGCATCTACCCAGCTCCAACACTGCCCTGAGCAGTCTGGGCCAGGGATTGACAACCCTTTTGAGGAAGAAATGGTTCCTAATGTCCAACCTAAACCTCCCCTGACACAACCTAAGGCTGTTTCTTTTTGTCTTATTGCTTTCTACATGGGAAATGAGCACAGCTGTCAGCATGTGACCTGTCTGACACTAAATTTTCTTCAGGAATAGGTATTTCTAAGAGGAAATAGCTGAGAGAGATGTGAAAAGTTGTCTTGCTGAGGCTGTGCAAAATTTGAGTATTTCAAAGAAAACATATTTTAGATATTCTACATCTATCAGATGTAGAAGTGGCAAGGAACATCCCAAAGCAAAAAAAAAAATCTCTATATTCAAATACAATAAGATCAGCTGAAAAATATTTCCATTTCATTCATATCTATGCTGAAACAAGCTACAGAAATTTCAGCCAAAATGAGAATTTTTGCAGAAACTAAAGATATATATATGGCAATTTGGAAGACAACCATTTCGTCATGAACTGCTGTGTCACACCTTAAAAAAAGCTCTACCATAATTCCAGACTACTTTAAAATTATTAGAACTAATTTCAAATAAGACCTTATAAGCATAATACGTTCTGGTTTGTGAGGTGTATTGTATAAAATAAAAAAAATAAATATGGAGCATGACTTAATTCTTCCATGCATTTAACCTTATACTTGCTTTTTCTGGGTCTTCCAGTTGTCATACTGGATATTCCTACAACTCCCTGTTACTCCAAATTATCATTAGAAAAGTGAAAAACTGGCACAGAAATTTTATGTGCAACAAGACGAGTTGCAAGGAAGAAATATCTTTATTGGTTTGGTTGAAGAACAGCCATGACTAATGCCACCAGAAGAACATTATAAGGAGGAATTAATTGCTCATTTACTTTTTATTGCATCATTATTGCATATAAATGCTACTGCCTCACCACCCAGCTTTATTACAAACGATGAATCAAAGCATTAAGAGATGCCACAGAGCATAGAAAATGCAGTGTACTAAAATAACGGATTCAGCAAGGTACTATATGTATTCTGAAAAGTTATAAATGCTTTATCAATTATTTATTCCCCACTGTAGTTTACTGCAACATAAAAATATAATAAAATTAGCTGCAAGAGGTATATGTTAAAATCTGCTGACAATTTTTTGGAGGTATTTTCATAGTAAGTGTGAAAAAATTAATATCTTCAAAGCAATAAAAAGGACTGCAGTAGAAATTTCCTTCACTGTGAAAAATACTGACAACTGTTCTCTTCTTACCCAAACATCAGGGGGGAAATTTATGAAGCTTTAGCTATATATCACAAGTGGTATTCATCAAAGCTTCAATAGCTCTTAGGTAACTGAATGTCTCTATTATAGGAACAGTGACTGCACCATTGATAAATCATCTTTTACAGCATCATATTTTAACTCATTGCTCCTCACATTTAGTTCTATACGAACCAAAAAGATCATCAAATTCTACCTCCACCACTCCCAAAGCATGTAATGAAAAACTGAATTGGCTTCTACACTAAAACTGGCAAATATGTGATTCTCCAGTGTACCTCATCTCTCCAGATGTAACTGAAAACACCAACTTCTACCCCCATATCCACAAGATTATGAAAAGAGCTTTCAAACGAGGAAACCAATAGCTTCAGATTTCCCTCCTAAAGCATAGCCCCAAAAATTTCACAGGCATGAGGAAAACACTGGCTAAAAGTCTGTTTAAATTATGTTCAAAGCCACAAATATGAAAAATATTCTCAGCTTGTTTTTCCCTGACAAATTGTGAATAAACACACTTTCCTCACTTGAGGAAGCCTGTCAGCAGTGGACAGGCTTTCTTTTCATTTCCTCAATTATTTCATTATTTGTACTACTATTTTTTTTTTTCATTTCTGTCTCCATGCTGGCTCTTTGGAAAAGAATTATTTAAATATCTTAGTTTTCTTTCACTATTGCGTCACTGCTCTGCTAAGTAACTGCAGTTTGATACTCAGTATTCATGAAAGGGCACTAAACAAGCAAACCGATCGGCTCTGCACCAGAAGCACGTTTCAGTACATCACTTACCACCCACGGTTTGTCACAGAAGTTGTAGACTGATTCCAGGGAGTTGACACTAGGGATCCCTGCGTACTGCATTCCAATGATCAAGTTACGGAAGTCTTCATTTTCTGCCATGCTGAAGGAATGTTGTCGAACAAGGACAAAATCAGGCCTGAAGGACCTGGCAAGCAAAAGATACGTTGCTAATAAGGCAATGATCAAGTCAGTTTTCCTTCAACTGCAAAAACTTAAAAGGAAAAATGTCCAGCTAATGGATAGAGAAGTACTGAAACACCCAAAATAAAGGTAAATGCTTAAAGACAGAAAGAACTATTAGGCTGTATGAAAATCCGTACTCTATCATTTCTTAACCATTGTTCAGAAAACATCAGCATCCGGTCAACACTGTGAGTCCATTAGGAAGAGAGACAATTTATCACAGCTTTTCAGGTTGTTTTCCCACTGACAGAGAAATCGTACATATAAATTCTATGTATGTTCTAAATTTAAGCACACCAGTTCCTGAGCAATGACTATCAAAAAAAGCAGACAAATGCTTCCACCAGAAACCTAAGCTTCTTGGGAACAATTTTTTTTTCTACAGCCATTGTCAGACTGTTATAAAGACACTAAGAAACTAATCAACCCCTTTGCTTGCAAAAGGAACCACACCGTAATTGGAGAGGATCATAATTCAATTTTTGATCAAGACACTTGTCAAAACTAATTTCTAAACTTACAATTGCACTTTTCCCTCCCCTCATTCTCTCTTGTACCTAAGCAAGATTTCCCCTGTTCCAACGTCTGTGGCTTCTCATCACCATGAACCTTTGAGAACAGTTTGACATCATCTTTTCTTTACTCAAACCCTGACATTTAGTTACTGAAGGAGGTTCTGAAAAACAGACAGGACAGAGCCACCAATACAAAAGCAATTCACTCCTAAACTTGACCACTGAAACACTCTCTTCTGCATTCAGATTTTATAGGTGGAAAAAAACACTGACTATCTTGGAGATACCAACTTCCTGGAATAGCTATAACTGTAGGATAAATTAAATTAGTGTAGTAAATAAGTGTAGTTATTCACATGTCTTGAATAAATATAAGCTGTGTACTGGAGTGAAAATTTCTGAAGATTACAAAATAATTCAGAAATCCCACACTAATAAAACAAAACCAAACCAACTAAAATTCACATTCAAATTGCTCAGGCAATTTTGAGATTCCACTCTGACTGTAGTAGTCAAAGTATATTAGCTGGATTCTGAGGCTGGCTTTCCAAAGCAATGCATGATTTGGGAAAAGCGACATTACAATGATTTGCTGTCAAGTGTTGTTGACGTGGCACTGTACAACAATCATCAAAAATTGTAGAGAAATGCTTGCCTTTAACAGGTTTCCAAAAAAATATTTGCAGCATAGTTCTAAGAACTTGTGATCCAGGTTTCATGGTGGCAGGCAAGCCTAGTGTTTGAAATAAGGAAAGTCTATTGACTGACACAACATGAGTATAATACTTTGAGGTTTAATGATGTCTTAATCAAAATTGCAGGCCACTCAGTGACAGAAGGAGATCCTCTCTCTCATTTACAATAGTGCTCAGGGGGATTACACATCCCCTCAAAGACAGCACTGTGGTTTTAGGTACAGTAAAGAACAGAACGTGTCCTTTAAAATGCCAATTTAATGAAACAACTGGGGAATTGGGGGAATGTACTCTTAAAAAACATTGAAAATAAAAATTACATATTTTGCTTTACAAAAATTTCTCAAAGAAACGTGAAACATTTACATAATTGCTGTAGTTCTGTAATTACCACTGGACAGAATGACTGTGTTTAGAGAAGAAGGTCATAAAAATTTTAATCCTGGTTCAACCATTTGTAAGAACCAAAATCTCAGCATTATGGAACACGAGATATCATTTTTCATGGTTTAATTTTCATTCACAAAAATGAGAAAAGCACGTGCCTGTTACACAGTTTCTACCTCCCGAACTAAGGCAGTAGGATTTTGTCACTGAAACGTCTATGATTTTACTAACTAGCATTTTGCTCACTAATCTATGACAGAGGTGAATTTGGACACCATGTTAATAACACAGTGGATTTTTCATCTCACTGTTCAGGTGTTTATGTCTTTTTAATAATCTGCTCATAGTCCATATCCAACGTGAACTTTTGCACCAGCAATTTCTCTTGCCTCTCCTGATGGTTGAGACAGACAGAAACAAAGGAACATGCCACACATCCTGACACCTGACCCATATGTAATGCTGGATTTCACATGAAGATTCTTATTAACTGAATGTGTACAGTAATACCTGTCACTATCACTGCATCCCTTAGCTACACAGGAAACACATCCCAAGCTTCAAGCAATAAACTTCACAAACTCACTAGGCTTAAAGTAACATAAAGACTAGCACCTATCTGAAGATACAGGATATTTATGAAAAATACTTTAGTTTTTCAAGACTATTCTATATCCCCAGATAAACTGCAATAGAAACAGAGAACTGCTGTCTGATCATGTCTGCATAGCCCTCTCACACCAGAAAGCCCACACATATACGCTGATATCTCAGAGAGGTTTCAGGGCTACTTATCAACCTCAGGTAGTTCCATTTGGTTAAATAAATTACCCAAATAACAGATAATATTATAAAATCCTTTGTCACCTCATTATCTGATGACACACAGCTTCTGTTTCTTAACATTAGCAGCAGTTTTACTAGGTTTTCTCATAAAGTACAAATATCCATCTTTGTCGATGCTATTTTCTGAAGGTTCCCAACTCATGTTAAGCATCAACATTTTTTAATGCTAGCTTGGCCTCAACACTTTTGTTCAGTTTGGAAAAATCTTTACAGAAAAACCACTAAGGAGTAGCAATCAAGATTTCATGGCTCCAAAACTTCTATCACTGGGGAAAATAAAAACACCAACCCTAACAGAAAACAAACAAACAAACAGTCACATAAAATCTCTTACTCTTCCAAGGAAACAATCTTGTGGATTTGGCATAAGTTGTTGCAGTATTTTTGGAACACACAAGAGATTAAGCTGTTATGAGTTTTAAGCCATAAAGTGCATTTATTTTCAATATTTTTCTTTGGTTTTTTTTTTTTTTCACATGAATGAAATTTTTCAAAACTTTTATTTGGACAGTTGTTGTGCAAAAATGCAGAGATACAAGATGTTGTATGCTGTCCAACTCCCTGAACCCTTACTCTTGTCTAAAGATAAACATAACCAGTAAACAACCAGGTTACCATTAGTGGCTCAATCCACCTTCCTGAATGCAAGTGTTCAAACAACTGCTACTATAATGAGAGAAAATCTAGGACTCCCTGAAATAATTTACTTAAGCTTTCACATCTCCCAGACATAGCCTTGTTTTCTACCCCTACATTTACAGGGCTCTTGACATCCTTACTATAAAAAAAAATTATAAAATGACCCTGCCTTCAATTGGACTAATAATTTTCTTTGGACAAAACAGCCTATTGGGAAATCTCAGGCTTTTAAACTGAAATCATTCAAACAGACAGTGATGTTCCAGTAACTATCCTGAGAGAGGTTCTATGACCTGGCATATTTTGACAGAAAATATTCAACATTGGAAATAAATACTGTTCATCTGGAAAGGTCTGACATGTACAAAATCACCCTGTCTTGTGACCAGTGCTGCATTTCCCAGTTCAAGAGAGACAAGGAAATACTGGAGAGAGTCCAGAGGAAGCTACAGAGATGCTGAGGGGCCTGGGGCAGCTATGTGCCCAGGAAAGGCTGAGAGCCCTGGGGCTGTTCAGCCTGCAGAAGAGAAGACTCAGAAGGGATCTGACCAATGCTGAGCAAGAGCTAAAGGGCAGGGGGCCAGATTCTTCTCAGTGGTGCTCAGCAACAGGGCAAGGGGCAACAGGCACAAACTGGAACACAGGAACTCTGGATCTCCAGAGGTCCCTTCCAACCCCTGCCATTCTGTGACCCTGTCTCTATTCCTGAAGCAAAGGTAAGATCCAAATAAATAAACTTAATTCTCAATCATGTACTGTTAAAACCTGACTTCATTTCCACCTTATTCAAATCTGTATTTCACGTGACCAAAATATCAAGACTCCTCCCCATCACAACAGGATTTACTGAACCCATCAGATACTTCATTTCCTACTCCTCATGCCAATGAGTGAGGTGGCTTGCATCAGTCAAAATCCCTATCACATGTATAGAAATAACGATTCAGTACCTTTTACATGCATACATTATGCCATTTATTGCTTTTTGCTGTTATCTGTTTAGTTTGTCTTACCTGACAACTTTAGTGCCATTTCGAAATACTTGAATATCTACGGCGTAATTGCCATCAGCATGGGCTATCAAGTTGATTTCTGAAAATTCTGCCTATGAAAAGAAAACTTGCATTAGCCCGTCCAGTTTATTTCACCTTTATTCTCCTAAATATCTTCTTTTAATTACTGGTATCTGAATTATTAGTATTTAATTATTAGTATCTGAACTGCTGACAACAGACATTTGGAATATAATGAGCACCAAGAGGATACTAATCTGACAGTATTTGTCATATGACATATCACAATTGAATAAATTCTAAGACAACAAAAGCAAAAAAAGTAAAAAAATTGTGAAAACGGGTGTGGGGCAAGCGGGAATTATATTGCTTCACTTGTGTCTGCACACAATTGTAGAGATACTTTGCATGGTGTTATTGAAGAGATTAACACAGATGCAACAATTATGTAAAGTTCTGAAGAAAACAGTACAAGAGCAATGTTAAAATAACCAAGATAAATAGAATATTTTCTTACAGCATCTCTTAATCTATTTTACTCCTTACTATTTCCTTCACGTGCATTTACTCATCTTTTTTAAAGACCTGGTACTAATAACCAACTGACAAAATTCACAAATAAAGAGCTTTTTCAAAGTATCTTCTCACACTGGAAACGTGGAATTTAAAAGGAATCAATTCCATACTCTGAATCTACAGTTATTTGAAAGGAAAGGACAGGATGTTTTTCATTTATCCACAGTCTTTCATCAGCTTAGACTCTCAAGGCACATTACAATAACATTACACAGCAGAAGAATTGAAATGCATCCAGCTGTCTTCTAGTGGATAAATAAAAGCGCCTTTGCTATCCCAGACACTAATAGAGAATAGAGAGTGTCAGAATTCTCATCAGTCTCCTCCTGAAAAATGGCATCACTAAAACTCTTCCCAAGTAAAATCTGCGTAAGGCTTTACTGTTCAGTGAAGGCAAGCGTTGAAGACTGTAACTACACTTCCAACCTGATAGCTTAAGTATGTGCTTGATTCCAAGCATGGAGGTCTATCCACCAAACCCCATGCACTTATATATTTTCTTGGATCAGTGCTACAATGTTCTAAACAAAAGAGGCAGTTTAGAATCACCGAAACAGCACAAATGGTGAGAGACTGAAACATCTGTGTAAAGAATCATTTAAAATCTATTTAAGATGAGATTGATAACTGATGTCTCCAATTAATAAATTATATTAAACATTTACAAGGATTCACAGTATAGATTTTGTAGCTTAACAGTTTAGTATGCGACAGAAAATATATGTTGATAGTTTGCTCCAAGTAATAGAAAAATAAAACAATGCTCTCTATTAGCAAAAGAACATTAAAGCAGTTGTTAACTATTTGTATATGATTGTCACAGTGTTGATGTGTTACAAAATGACTACTAGGTTCAGAAACTTTCAACCTGTTACAGATTAAAGGCAGTTCTGGTCCTGCGAGGGACCACATGAAGGCAATTTGAGGCTTACACAGAGCTTTTGTTAATAGTAAAGAGACAGTGTGCATGATGTGAGCTGCATGGTCTGATCTAGGTGTGAATAGTATTTTCAGACAAAATAACATGTCTTCTCCTTTCCCTGTCTTTCCCTCAATACTCTTGAGGATCCTTGGCAAAGCTTTCCATGTTTCCAAGCCAAGAACATCAGCAGATATTCAATGGTGTAAAGAATGGAGCAAAGCTAGATGCTGTACAACTACAGTGAATTCAGATAAGCTGAATCCACACAGCTAGCGATAATTTTCCTTCAATCTCCAAAATTCCTCTAAGAAAACAATTCAGTTTAGGTAATGAGGCTTCTTACAGTGGCATCTGTTAGTAGAATTCAAGACTGAAAAGCAGTGAAAAGACTTAACTCCCTAGTTCAGATATCTAGCTCAAACAAAACAGTCATATTATAATGCACCCTGAATTCTATCTCCATATTTATTTAGTTTTTTTTTTAAAAAAAACAACCAAACAAACCAACAAACCTACATGCTGGCACTGCAACCAGAGTCTAAGTGTATTCTCAGGTGAAGGAATTAGTGCTGCAGAAATGCAACATGTAATTCCTGAAGCGTCTGGGAAATTCACTCTCCAAGCAACAACTTTTGAATACATGTGGTGCAAATTATGATCAGACTCCTCTAAAACGGGCCACATTAGAATGTAATAAAATTAAATCTGTGAGTGTTGTACTTGTGAGACTTTTTTGAAGTACAAAGGACTATGCATCCATCTATACATATATGTATATAGAATCATAGAATCATTTAGATTGGAAAAAAACCTTTAAGATCAAATCCAACCATTAATATGACACTACCAAGTCTCGCCCTAAACCATGTCTCTCAGTGCCACATCTTTCAAAGACCTCCAGGAAGACATGTATTTATCCACATATATTATTTGTATAAATAGTACTTAGATTAAGTAATTTAATTACCTGTTCAACCTTTATGTCGTATTCTCCATGGACTTTTTTCCCACGAAAAGCCTTGGCCCTGCAGGAAAAAAGGGAGAGAGAAAAATCAAGGCTATATCTGTTATCTGTTATGATATGTGTCTGTTATCAGTAGCTACATAAGAGCTCGCTGCATGGCCTTCAGTATCTTGAAAATGCACATATATATGCTAATTGAATCTACCTACTGCACATGCACAATTCTCTTCCCTTTGATATCCTTGTATCCTTAACATCCCATCACACGCAGTATTTTGTGATAAGAAGTATAATGTGATCATCAGTATTAAAATGTATAAAGTATACCAAAACATACTTCACAGTTATTAATATGAAATTAATGTCACTAAGAAGATGCAGTCTTGCTCTCATTAAAGTCCACAGTGCCAGTGGAAATGAATTTCAGTGTGAAGGAATACCTAACAACCACTCATGGTAATCTTTATCCACATAGTTTATTTAGAAAAACTGCTTCATTACAAACACAATCCTTAGAAACTTTATATAGTTTTTAAAGAAAGTATCAGAAGTACTGTAGATTGATGCCACCAAGTTTTCAAGTGCCTGATTTACTAATCAGCATTGCTTTTTCTAGACTAACTTGAGACAATATAATTAATCTGAAGAAGCGCTTAGGGGCAATTATTATGCACCAGGATTGCTGTAATATAGCAGAACTGAATTCAGTGATGCAGTCTCCTGGGTCTAACAAGCAGACTTTTTCTAGGAACCTGTCAGTTGTATGCCTTAAGCAACATGTATCTACTTTGCAACAAATGGGAATCAAAAAAAAAAAACCCAAAATATTGACAAAAGGGAACTATTCTAACACTCTGAAACTGGAAAAGGGTTATGGTAACAGTCCCTCTGTGCCTTCTTTGCTCAAGCCAAACCTCAGAGTAACTTTCCTACTTTTATTATATGCAAGCAAAAATTTGTTGCACAATCCAAAAACAGACCACCAGAGAATATCTTCTCAAGGGTTAAAAAGAAAGTAACTTTGTCCATTTTCAACATCTGACAGCATGCTCTTATGCCAAACTAAATCTACCTCATTAGAAAAAGTAATGTATGCCACATATTAAAGCATTTCATCATTGCTTTTGGAAAATCCTTTTCCCATTGAGGTCCAGAAAAGCTTCACCACTGGTTTCAACAGTAAAAGGACCCAACTTCATAATAATCAACTGAAAACACTGTCCTTGGCAACATATTTCTTAAAGATATCTTAAGTATTATGGATAACAGATGGTAGAAAGGAAAAGAAGTGTTTATACTGAAATGGCAGACTAAAATACTGCCCAACAACTCATTCTGTATGAATACACGATTGGTAGAGAAGACAACAATGAGGAAAGCATTTGCCTAACTGCTTTATACATTTTTCTTGTAATAAAGACACATGAAATATGAAGCTTGAAACCCATTGTTTTATTAGAAGAGGTGCATACTCAGCATATTGTTATCAAATATTTTTGACAATAAAAACAGGAGAAGTTAAATATACTGTGTCACAACTCTAAAAAAGAAATATTATTAATCACTTATTTTTCTTTCCCAACTTGTTTCGAAATTCTGTACGGGGAATATGAAAATTGTCTCTTGAAAACTTTGAATATGCCTGGCCACAGCTTGAGTTTTATAATCCTGTTTATGTTGAAGCGTTAGCTGGACCAGTTAACCTAATAGGTGCAGGAAAATCAGGGACATCTCTATTAGCCTTGAGAACTCCCCAAAAGCCAGACCAGACAGAAAGGTCTCATGCTCAAAGATAACACCACGTCTGCCTCAGGAGAAAAGCAACCAATCCATAACAACAGACAACTTAAATGTCTCTTTGAAAAGCTCAGATTTACCACATTGAAAAATATTTAAAACTCCAATTCTCATCCTCATTAATTTAATGGTAATGTTATTGTTGAATTTTACTGGGAGCAGGATGAGCTCCTAGATCTTACTTCTTAGGTAGCAACAGGTGAGGTAAAAGCATTACTGGACATCAAAGAACACAAATTTCATTTAAATAGACTTATGTTGGCTATATAACACAACAAATATTATAGTGAAGCTGCCTCTGGGACACGGAAAAGTAAGCTTAGAGTAATATTCAGTTTCTTAAAATCTGAACGGTAACTTGAATATATGCAGAGATTAAAGCTCCCACAATGCTCCCTAACAAATGTCAGCAACTCATTTCTTCTTTAAGAGAGGAAATGGAAACAGGAAACCACAAAGAGCCAAAGAGCATCTATGCTATTCTTTAGCTCTACATCCACTGCACATGTTGGAATGTGCTCAAAACATTAGTTAATTATTAATTAGTGAGATGCTATTCCTTGAAATTCAGTCTTTCTACTTAAACATCATTTAGATGAGCCAACCTTTAAACAACTAAACTCTGGTATGACTCTCATTTCAACAAATGACTTCATCTTTGAAAATAAACAGTCATAGTAAGTACTGAAATTAAGCAATCTGAGGCTCAAAAACAAACATGACATTTAATCATTTAGAGGCTTAATTGCCAAGTAGCTTTAACCAACATCTTTTACAAAAATGTATAATAATAATATTCTCCAAATGTTGAGCCACAAATTGCAAGAATGTATCATGATATGGAAAAAATAACTTGGAGCAGAAAGGAATGACTCAGCTGTTTTAGAACAAACTATAAGAAATTCTTAGCACAAGTTTGCTGTGCAATAGCACCTAGTTTTCATTTTATTTACTGTACTCAGGATATACAGACATGCCCTGCTTGAATTATTTCCCATTTGCGATATGAGACATGTGCAACCCTATCATAAAGACATTTATTACATGCCTAAATTAACAGTTTGTTGGTTTGTTGTTTGGTTTGGTTTTTTACTGAGGAGTGGTAGGGAACAGTCTTTAGAGAAACTGATTTAAAGGATTCCACTGAGTTGTAGTTTGCAATTCCTGCTACACCTACTGAGCATGAGTACTGAGCATGGAGTACCCGTGTATCAACTCTGGGAGCACTTCTGTAGAAAGGGGTTAATGCTTTCAAGGTCAGGGTCTCTAGACAAGGTATTTGAAAAAAAGCATGAGGTCAGTAAAGTTAACAAATATTCAGGTAACATCTTGCTGCTCATTGTTGACAATTCCTTGCATTGTACATAGGGAAGAAAAGGGAAGAAAGTGGTACAATTATTCATCTCCAACTCACTCTGTAAAGAGTTGCTTCGCAAAGCCTAAGCATAGAGAAAACAGACAGCTACTAATATGAATGCTGCCTACTGGAGTTACTACCATGACCTCTTACAGTCAGAATCTTTTCAGAATATGTGGAAATATTTATGTAGTTCTTGCTTCACAATTCCTTTCCTGGATAAAATAATCTTGTACATTTAAAATTAAATATCTATAGAATATACAGCTGCCATAGATGCAGCCTAACAGGAACTCCTACTACTCACTGAACTTTGGCAAGGACAATGATTGAAGCAGTAATCACTAAAAATGTTTTAAACACATAAAAAGACATAAAATATTTCCCTCTTAAACTATATAGCATCTACATATATTTCTGCACTACCTTACTAGGCCGTGAAACAGAATGTGGTTTCCTTTCACACAAATGAACTAAGCACTAAAACTGGTGCTACTTTGGATTGGCAGCAAAATCAACAGGAAAATCATTTGCTAACATCCAACAGGTTTATATGACAACAATTTGCATTCTTTAATACTGCAATGATGAGTTTATCAGCAACAGTTTTCAATAAAGTCAAAAGCATTCATCCAGAAGATGTATGGGGTCCAGTCCTGCAAACTACTGCTCGTGTGTGTCTCTCCTATTTTCACAGCACTACATACTCATAATTTTTTTACCTCAATTTGCAACTGTCAATTCAGTGCAGCACTTGTAGGCTGATTTCTGTACAAAAAACATCATGTGCACAGGAATCAGTTCTGTTTGGACACTGATTTCTGGGCCTGTCTGAACAGTGAACTGGGAACTAATTACCAACCATCAATAAGATTGTATGCTCAAAATAATTACAGTGTCAGTTTACTGCACAAGAGTAAAAGCTTGTTCATCATTTAGAACAGTAGCACCCTCTAGAGCACACAAATTGCAGATTGTCAACATTTATAATCAGCTAGCATAATTTACTGCAAGCAAGGTAATGTACCAATATATAGATGTAACAGGTTCACTGCAATTGCCAAATGCATGTAAAGGTTTTGGCATACTACTGACACAGAACCAGCCAGACTTCAACAAACTCAGTGTGGCACATTAGTTTCAGTGACAGAAAAGAGAATGTTGAAGAGAAAGCAAATCCAGAACTCACTCATTATTTAATTTAATATTTAAAAAAAAAAAAAAAAAAAAAAACAACAAAAAAATCCCAACAACAATAACAACAACAAAAAAAAGAAAACCAAACACCAAAAAACCACTCAGGTTTTAACCCAGAACTATGGTTGGTTTGTGCCACTCTCATTTCATACTGAGTCAGAAATAGTCAATCTACCTCCAGCAGTTAATTTAATGGAACTATGACTGTCTAAGACGTCATGAACATCCTATTTGCACTACTAGGTGATCCGGTAAACACAGACTGGCAAAAAAATACCGAATGCTGCCATAAGATGTTTGGTAACATTGTCAACTGTCCCATGAAAAAGTATTGAACAATCCAATGCAATTATATATATGAGAATTAACACTTGAGTGATATAATCTAGACACATTCTAAGTATATCACTTATAAGACAGCAGTTTTGTAAATATATTTGTTTTCATTATGAAAATGAATCTGCCAAGGAAATAATGGCTTAAAGAATAACGGATTTTAATAATAATCAAGGATTTGAAAGGAGTAAGAAAATTTTAATTTTATAGTCTAAAAGGGGACTTTTTAGACTGTTAGGCAGATTTCTGTAAATACATGAAAATTATGAGAAACTGTTATCAAAGGCAACCATATGATCAGATTTGCATAGTATTTTCATTTTATGTCACCTAATCCACAGTCTATTGAAACCAATGGGAATGTCCCTACCAAC